CAAAGAGAAAGAAACAGAAAATCTTACTGAGAACAAAAGACAATAAAACAGGATTCAAGGAGACAGAAGATGGCGGTTACCGTTGCATTTAAACTTTTCTTGATTTTAGTTGAAAGAGAAATCAAAAAGCGAGACGAGAATTCCACAGGCTATATGTGCGAGAAAGGAAACTATACAAACAAAACTCATCAGTGAAACCCACCGTTCATACGACTGTCTCCAGTACCCCCTTCTTTTTCTATACGGAAGCGATGGGTACCACTTCAAAATCCCAATATACCAGGCAGGCAGCCATTCCATGTCGACCTCAAAGACGGTCTCCTGTAGGGCTTACTACACCTACATGTTTATGGTTAGGAAGGGTGAATTTAACCACTTGCACAGGTGCCGTCAACTATTTCTTCAATTCGCTGTTGACATGGCTGCAAAAATGGAGTCGGAGAGGTTAGGATTATCAACCATTTGAGGATTATTTAAGGCCGAAAAATATTTTAGGTTTTAAGAATAATTCTTTCCTTGCATTCAAGCGATTTGGGAGAAAGAAAGAGAAAACGAAGAAGGAAGACAGAAAAAGTAATACGAGACGGGTCATAGGCGAACACACACACACACGGCTTAAGGGACGGAAATAAGGAGGAAAAAGGTTATAGTTGATAGGTATCAGATGTCGAAAATATCTAGGTCACTTACGAACAAGCGTTGACCGATTTCCGCTTGTCCACGAAAAATGGAATTTTGTTATCAATGGATGTCACCAAAAAGAAGAAATCCATTGTTGAACATTGACGAAACACAGACAGTCTTCACTGGGTGTGGAGAATCAAAATCCCACACAAGTAGTTTTCACTGGCTAAGTTTTTCTTTTTGACAGAATAGACCTTTGCCCTGCGATAATAAAGATTTTTTGTTATCAACACATGGGCCGAAGGAAATGAAATATTTTTATTTTTGCTTTGGAAACGCCAAGTTGGCTAGGAAGATTTCTTTCTTAGGTCATGTCCAATTAACGATAAACTGCTTGACAAACGCCACGTGTTGAAACCGAAGGTTGTCACCTCGGCCGCTTATGATAAGGGCGATTTAATTAATTTTTTTTTAGTTAAGCCAGGTATTTCTTTTCCAAAACAAAGCCACGGGTTGTTCACGCCCGACTAAGACGTCATTGGCCAAGTGGGTCACATGACGCACGAAGGAGGAGGAAAGATATCCGACCAGGACCTCATTGGCCGAGAGTGGTCACGTGACGAACGAAGAAAATCAGTCGACGCCCCCATCCAGAGTATAAGTATGAGAAGCCGATACGAAGAAGTGGGGAAGGCAGTGCACGCCCCTCAGAAGCACGGTGAGAGAGTGGGAGTGAGAAAAGAGTTACCAAAAATGGAAGAGAGTGGAAAATCCCTAACCAGAAATAAGAAGGGTGGATATGTATTTAGAATTATCGAAGAACCCCCGACGCTAAACAGACCCACCCCGGTTTTTGTCGGCGTCAATAAAAGCGAGACCCCAACCGACAGAAATCAGTTCATCCCCGGACGGCAGAGGAAAGAGTTCGTTCGCCCCAAGAAACGCAAACTGTGACGGATGGTTACCCATTGTACAGACATAAAAGCCCCTCTGAGGGCGGCAGAAGTGTGACAGTTAAGGGGCACACTCTGGACAATCGTTGGGTGGTGCCTTATTGCTTGCTGCTGTCCAAGACTTTAGGAGCCCACATAAACGTTGAATACTGCCAGTCGGTTAAGTCAATAAAGTACATCTGCAAGTACGTGATGCTGCCGTCTTCGGTATCCGGCGCGACAATTGCATTGACGAGGTGGCCAATTACGTGGCTGGACGCTACCTCAGCAGTAGCGAGGCTTTTTGGCGAATTTTCGGATTCCCCATACACCAAAGGGCTCCAGCCATTGTTCATGTTGCTGTTCACTTAGAAAATGGACAGAGGGTGTACTTCACCGAAAAAAAACCCAGCAGGTTGCGGAAAACCCTAAAGACACAACCCTAACGGCTTTCTTTAAATTATGCTCAACAGATGCTTTTGCCAAAACATTGATATACCCCCAAGTCCCGTCCTACTACGTGTGGTCAAACAACCGGTGGGTTCGGCGAAAGGCTGGGGACCTAGTCGAGGGTTATCCCGATGTAAGGTCTAACTCTTGCCTTGGACGCATTTATACTGTGACCCCAGCTAACAGGAATGTTTTTACCTCCGCCTTCTACTTCATGAAATTGCTGGGCCAACGATTTTCACAGATATTCGCACTGTTAACGGCATAGAGTGCCAGTCTTATAGAGAGACATGTTTCTGTTTGGGATTGCTTGAAGACAACTCCCAATGGGATGCAGCCATGTTGGAGGGTGAACTTCTCAGAACGCCATCACGGCTTCGAACACTGTTCGCCATTTTGCTTTTGCGATGCGAACTAAGCGATCCTCTGTCGCTCTGGCTAAAATAGAGAGAATCCATGTCAGAGGATGTGCTGTTCTCCGTTCAGCGTAACAGCCCAGGAGTTGAATGCGGTTTCACTGACTTCATATTCAACAGAGCGCTGGTGGCTCTAGAAGATGTTGTTTTCGAATTGGGAGGTGCCTCTTTACCAACTTACGGTTTACCACCACCGCTCAGAGACGGTTTTGACACTGTACCAACTGAGTTATCGCGGGAAACATCCTACTCCATCGAAAGGCTGAACGCATACAATATCGAAAACGAGCCCAAATTTCTACTTGATCAGAGGGTTGCTTTCACTACCATAACAGACAGGGCAAACGGCTCCAGTGGAGGTATATACTTTTTAGATGCGCCCGGAGGAACTGGAAAAACATTTGTTACTAAATTAGTCCTGTCAGAGGTACGGCGTCGTGGGGAGATCGCTATTGCAGTCGCATCTTCCGGGATTGCTGCAACGTTGCTACCGGGAGATAGAACCGCTAATTCGTTTTTTACGTTGCCGCTTGATCTATGCCGGTCACAAACTCCTCTCTGCAACATAACAAAGAATTCGCCACAGGCTGAAGTTCTGCGGAGATGCAAACTTATAGTTTGGGATGAGTGCACGATAGCACACAAGGGCGCCCTTGAGGCACTTGGCCGAAGTCTCCAAGACATCCGCGACTCCTCCGTTCCATGAGTGGAGTAATCCTTCTCCTCGCAGGTGACTTTAGGCAGACTCTACCTGTTATTCCTAAAGGTACCCGCGCTGACGCTGTCCGCGCCTGCCTGAAGTCGTCTGCCCTTTGGCGCACATGGAGACTCTTAAATTGAGCACGAACATGCGTATCTACTTGAATGGGGACTCCAGATCTGGTGACTTCGCACGGGACCTTCTTGCTCTTGGTGAGGCGAAAATGCCATCTGACACACAGGATTTTGTGCCGATGGATCAGCTTGCCACCACTGTTGAATCACCGGATGTATTGATGAATGCAGTCTTCTACAACCTATCCACTAATTTTGCCGATGCCGATTGGCTTTCTGGGAGGGCCATATTGGCACCGAAGAACTGTACAGTTGATTCCATCAACCTTAAACTGTTGGATTGCATTCCCGGGCAATGTCATGTTTATAAGTCCATCGACAGAACTTCCGATCCATCTGAATTAGCTGAGTATAGCATAGAAGTTTTGAACTCCCTTCAGCCGTCCGAACTCCCACCTCATATTCTTCGGCTCAAAATTGGTGCTCCAATTATGCTAATCAGGAATTTGCTCCCACCTAAACAGTGCAATGGGACTCGCCTCATTATTAAATCCCTTTCTCCGAACCTGATTGAGGCGATCATTGCAACTGGCTGCGACAAGGGGGAAGTTGTTCTTATTACCAGGATGCATCTTCTGCCGTCAGACTCATACATACCAATCAAGTTTCGTCGCACACAATTTCCCGTGAAGCTTTACTTTGCTATGTCCATTAACAAATCACAAGGACAGACGTTTAGCATTGCAGGTCTGCATTTACGTGAGCAGTGCTTCTCTCACGGCTAACTTTACGTTGGGTGCTCACGAGTTGGGTCTAAGGACAGGGTTTTCATTTACTCTCCCAACAACTGTGCTAGAAACATAACCTACACGGAGGACCTGTAGACAACCCGCCCGGTAGCGTTTAAGCGCCATGCACACATATGCAGTCCGATTGCATGGCAGTTTTTTTTTTGTTTGTCATATTGGTTTTAACGCTAGGTCGTCATAGTCTCCACTTGCCATAACTAAGACATCTTTGTAAAAGTTATCCAGCTCTTTTGCTGCCTTCTGACTTTCATACCTTCACCAGCCATCATCGCGTTTGTTTGTACACTATGATAACCACACCGTATTCAGTTGCAACACAAGCTGCTAGACACATGAACACCGGCATTAGACATGATTGCTCCACTAAAGTTCCGGTTTCATTAACAGTTGATCAGAGCACCTGCAGTTCGTACCAGTGCATACAAGCACATTCACACTTGAGAAGCTTCGGAGTTCGTTTAATTGTCACAAAAGTCGAGTGCGTCTACCAAATTCAAGCTTCTGCTTCCATATACACTTTACGGCTGCTATGGGGGAAACATGTCAGCCATACGGCTCTATTGTTTTGTTTGTAGTCGTGTAAAAAAAACCTAAAAAGACGCGCCCAGTACGGCGACCCCGGTCGATTTTCATAAGCTCTCAGCCGTGATGTTGACTGCGACTGAAGAGAAGGCACTTCTCCATTGCAATTGAGGCGCTCGGCCGTACGGCGACCCCTGTCGATTTTCATAAGCTCTCAGCCGTGATGTTGACTGCGACTGAAGAGAAGGCACTTCTCCATTGCAATTGAGGCGCTCGGCCTTACAGCGAACCCGGTCCGGTTCCATGAGCTCTCAGCGTGATGTTGACTGCGACTGAAGTGATGGCACTTCTCCATTACAATTACGATTCTCGGCCTTACGGCTACCACCGTTGCGGTTTTAAGGGCTCTCAGCCGCGATGTAGATAGTGACAGATCCGAATAAAGGAAGTTATATCACAGATATTTTCTTACCATGACACCCCGTCACTGTTCGCTCTTCTCTCGGTTTTACGGTTCTGCTTTGTGGTCGTGGCAGCGCCGTCTTTTGGGCACAAGACGCGCCTTTTAGTTAGACAAGCGGTTTGTTTGTGATTGCGCACCTCACATACTTTATGTCTATGGCTTCCTCACGGCACGTTTTCCCTTCAATCCCTTTGTATGTTGCAACTGAATCGTGGTTTCTTGGCTACTTACCACAAGTGCTTCCAGTAATGCTTAATGGTCCAACTGGTTAAAGCAGTAACTGCTGCCAGCTTTTACTCACGGATGTCTTAGTAATGGCAAATGATTGATGCTACAACGGCTTTCTGTTACTTCCTTCGATACCTTCGAATACTTGGGCCTGATGGCTGCTTAAAATTTGTGTGCATTGCGTCTCAACGATTTGTAGAAACTTAGTTCCTATCGACTTACAAAGCACATCTTTCAAAGCAACAGTCGTCCCCAACTAAACTGTTACATCCCCGGACAACGCCGGGCTCTACTGATAGTATCTAATAAAATATTTTTTTTTTTATATACTAAAGATTACCCAATACAAGGGCCAAATTTAGGAGGATACTGCATGACATATCGGGTGTAACAGCATAAATGTCCATCCCACAAAATGGTTAATATTTAAAAAACAAAAACAACAACAAAAAAAAAAAAACAAATAAAAAAAACACTAAACTAATTATTTTTTTCCAGGCTTTCGGATGAGACGTTTGGCCATCTTGACACCATTTGTCGTAAAAATCACTGAACAATCCTTTGAGTTATTCAACTAGAAATAAAAAAGGTTAAAATCGTTTTGTGTCAGCCCCACTATGTCATCCCAACTGGACAATGGTGGGAGGAAAAAGATCATTAAGGCCTTCAGTAATGGTACCAATATTCATAATCTGGCTTCCATCTTCAAAGTCCATTCAAGAACTATCAAGAGAACGACAAATAAGTTTTAAAAAATTGTTAACAGTAGAGAAGAAAACTGGATCTGGAGGAGACAACAGGAAGAGGGATTATCATTTCACCTTATATCTAAAGAGATCTAGGACAAAAGATTACAAGGTTAGAGAGTGCAGATCATCATGAATAAGTTTAGAAATGATCTTGGTATAATATATGACGGGTCTGTGTAGGATACAGGTTCGATTCCTGTCGGAGGACACATTTTCTATGATATTTCTCATACATTCAGTCCAGTAGATGTTAATTATAAACAGAGCATTTACTTAAATATTTGTATCTCTAAACATAGAGAATAAATAGATATATTAAAAGAACTGTCGGAGGTAGTCCATTTAATAATATATGACATCATTTTTCTACGTTAAAATAAGCTTCGAGCAGATATGTACGTTCGAGAGAAATCATGATAAATTTGTTGTTTGTGAAAAGTGTATATAAATATAAATAAATATATGTATAATTATTTATATATTATATGCTCGGTACTTATTAGAAAGCGCTCAATAAACATATTGATAAGCTAACATATTTGGTTGGATAGCACATCTATCCAACCAAATATATATATATATATATATATATATATATATATTACGCTGAATGATTTATACAAAAAGTAGATTAGTAAAGTTAATGATATAAAAAGGGGAAATACTTTCGCAAACAAAATTTTAAAATTTCATTAACCTATAACTCACACATTAACTTTACTAATCTTCTTTTTGTATGAATGATTCATTGTAATATAAACTGAACTGCACCATATATTTGATATATATATATATATATATATATGTGTGTGTGTGTGTGTGTGTGTATTTGAATTTTCATGAGCTTCCGACCCTTAGCTATGATTAATTAATGATGAACATGTCATTTTCGTTTATGATCGATTTAATCACGAGTCTTCTGTTAAACTTGAAAAGAAATTATACATTCATATTGTTTAAATTAGGTTCGAATAGGTTTATAAAAATTCCAGTCATATATCTTTAATCGTTTCTAAGATACAACGGTTCAAAGGTTAATGTAACAATTGGACAACTTTGATGTGGCACCCGGTATATAATCCAACAACATCGTGGATTGGCGAGACACATAATAATAAGGATGGGTAACAGGGGGGGGGCAAGAGATTTAATGTTTTTCAATTAATAGAGTACGTATTAGAAAATGAGGAACTTGAACATTCAAAGTCGGCATGGTAGAATTTGGGAAAGGCCTTTTTTTTGCAGTAGACTGACGTTGAAGATTAAAATTATATTTATTTCATATTAAATATTTGTTATCTTTTTAAGCATTATTTAGGATAGGACGAACAAAGAAAATTACATTGCATTTTCTTATCATACATACAGATACGCATGCATATGTGTGTATGTGTGTATGTATGTATTCGTGTTTTTCTACATGTATATGTGTGCATGTAATTCACAATTTTGCATTAATAGCCGTAGCATTAGACTGTTAATGGAGAAGTTTTAATCTGAGAATTTCACTATATATTTCAGTGTTGTATTAAGAGCATTGACAAGGAAAGAGAGTGTGCTAAATATATATATATATATATATTACTATCTATATATCTGCATATATATATATATATATATATCTTACTATCTGCATATATATATATATATATATATATCTTATATCTGTATATATATATATATATTTACTATCTGTATATATATATATATATATATATATATATATTACTATCTGTATATATATATCTTACTATCAGTATATATATATATATATATATATATATATATATATATATATATATATATAACACAATCTCTCTATAGATGTAGTCATCCACAGACAGACTGTTTCGGTGTGTCACATCTCATCAGTGTGGCTAGACATCGGATTGCTTCAAGCTAGGATCATCGAAACCACCCGACCAATTTGGCATCGGTCAGATATTCTACCCACAAGCTATCGTTGTACGGCAGAGCGGAAGGGAATTTTTTTTAACGTTATTACTATACGAAAGACGTCAGTAACTAAGCGAGCTCGATTGAAGAGCATTGCATTAGCAGCAGCCACTGTTTATAAAATCACCCCTTCCTCTTCGAGAGCTCAATCGAATTATTTCGAGAACATCTTTTAAGAACATAATCCTAAATAAGGCGGGAATTCTACTAGCACGGAGCGGGGGGGTACCCAGTTTGGGTATAGGGATGATTGAGAAAATATAAAAGATGAACGGGGTTCAAGAAAACAGAAGATGGCGATTGACCTTGTATTTAAATTTTTGAAGATTGTAGTTTTCAGGGTGGCATTTAAGCGAGAGTGAGTTCCACTGTCTCGAAGTGTGAGAAAAGAATCTGTTGTAGTAGGAGTGGTGGTTATGTTTAACTATTTCAGAAAGAATAAAACTTAGATGCCAATCTAATAGCATGTTTAAATTCATATAGTCAGGACACCTGGGAAAAAAGCCTGTCAGAGCAGTAGTCATGAAAATATATGTAGAAAAGACAAAGGGAAACCACATCACGTCTCTGAGAAAGTGACTGAAGTCGAGATGCCAAGTCAGTTCCGATTTATTTGCAGATCTATTTTCGGTTTTATTTCGAGAATCTCGGCATGAAGAGCTGTGCCACTATATCAGATATGGCCATAGTATTCAATAATAAATATGTATGTGTATATTTACCACTAATATTATCAATATATATATATATATATATATATATATATATATATATATATATATATATATATATATCAATACATGCATACATATATATATATATATATATATACATACATATAGATATATATAGAGGCACGGTGGAGTAATGGATAGCGGCTTGGATTGAGGAATCGCAGAGCCGAGTTCGAATTCCTTGGGAAAGGTGTGAATCCTCTTCTTCTCCCTCCAGCTATGGGTAAATAGCCTTGGATGGCAACTGGTCTATGAGAAGGACAACTCTGAATTCAAAACCTGCGGAGGGTCCTTTAGGGACCTTGTGGCACGTAGTGCACCAGGTCTCTGTATTCGGCCCTTCAAAAAGTGTGGGTGGTCCTGCACGAAACCTTCACCACTATAATCAAATCTCATTCTTGTTATTCATTTCCTGGATATTTTTCGAACTCGAAATTCATGAATATATATATATATATATATATATATATATATCTTCATATATATATATATATATATATATTCTTGTTCATGGATATTTTTATAAATTCATGAATAAGAAATCTATTTTTATATTTAGTTCTTCATAAAATGGGAAATAATAAATATTTATAATAAGATAACTAAATAATATTTCGTTAGAGTTGCTTCACACATTTTTTTATAATTTTGTAAATTTATACAATGTTATGAATAAATAAAATCTTTTTCGTGTTTATTTATTTATAAAATGATAAATTATAAATATTTAATTGCTGTTGGTTCATATATTTGCAACATTGTAAATATAAAATTAATTTTGTAAATATACAATTTAACAACTAAATTTTGTATAACATATTTTGTTGTTATCAAAATTCTAAACATCGCTTTTCGAAAAAATTAAATATTTACGATGGAGTCGAGAGAGTATACAATAATAGCGGTCTTCTTTTAACAACCTGTCTTTTTCCTGGTCGGAAGGTTAAACATTGCCATTTTTTAAAAAATATTTTTGCTATATGAAGTCTTGTTGGGGTTAGACGAAAAGAAATACTTTTGGCACTTCACAGTGAGCCAACAATCCTTGCAATAGATGCGGCTATTGATCCAATGTACTTGTTCATGTCAGCTTCAAACGTGTCGCCAAGAAGGCGCATTAAGACGCTATCCCGGAGTCGATCATCCACCATGGTTATAGTGGGCTGGGTAGTAATTTAATTTTGGAGACATTAAAATTTAAAACCCATTTCCTGACCCAATGATTGGTGTCCTTATCCGGAGCATCGGTCGGCACTGCCGGGTTTATACTCTCTCTCTCTCTCTCTCTCTCTCTCTCTCTCTCTCTCTGTGTGTGTGTGTGTGTGTGTCCTACTATATATGAAGTTATGTAATTGTCTATGTGCGGGTGGTTAGTGTATATCGATATACATATGTTTGGACTTAGGTGACTAACAAAGAGAGAATGATTTCCAAGCTCCAGTTTATTAAATCCTCACATTTCTCTCTTGTCAAGCTCCCCGATATATTGCTTATTGAGAATAATCTCAAACTTCCCAATATCCCCCCTCCATCCTTTTATATACATATATCTACGTTCTTATCTATATAGCTATATATCCATATTCATAGATGTGTAAGTCTATGCGCTTTTGATTATTCCTGAGTGTATATAGTGATTTCTCCAGCGTAGCTTAGATGTGGCACAAGGCCGAAAGTAGGGAGCACCCAGAGAAGATCGAACTCACTACTCAGTCGCAATTGTTCTAGCGAGACAAATTTGCTAACCATTACACCGTCTCGAGGTGCCCAAAGCGAACGTTTATATATATATTTTTAAGCATTACGCCACGAGCAAGGCGTGAAGCCACTAAGATGCAGGGGGTTGCAGAAGATTTGGAGCGAGATCAGATAGGAGTGATAGAAGAAAGGATGAGGAGAGGGATAGTGGATAGATCAAGGTAACTGGAGATGTCGATTGACATTACATTTGAATAGTTGGAGATTATAGCTCTCAGGGAACAGGAATAGGGAAGGGTGTTCCACAGGCGAGAGGTGCGAGGTATGAAGCTATTGGAGTAGAAGAGACGGCTACATTTAAAAGTTTCAACAGTGAAAGGGTGAGAGCGGGATGCCAGCCTCGTAGGGCGCTTGAATTCATGGAGTCTGGAAACCAGCGAATGCAGCTCCTCGGAGCAATTACCATGAAAGTATTTGTAAAAAAAAGACTGAGAGAGGCGACGGCGCGTCTGTGAGAGTGTGACTGTAGATGAGATGCCAGACCAGGGCCAATTATATTGTATATCCGCCTCTGGATCTTGTCAAGACATGTTTATACGTTTACGCGAGTGTATATATGTGTAGATATATTTGTATATATATTTGTGTACGTATGTGTATGTGCGTGTGTGTGTACGCGAGTGTATGTATGTGCGGATATCATTGTGCATATGCAGGCGTGTGTACGCATATGTATCTCTGTGCGTATAAGTTTGTACATATCTATGCGTATGCGTGTGTATGTGTGCGTGGATATGTTATATGTATACCAGTGGGGATAGAATTGTATATATATATATATATATATATATATATATATATATATATATATTTGTAAGGCGAGTGTATATATGTGCTGATAAGGTTGTATATATGCCTGTGCGTTTACGCGAGTGTATATATGTGCGGATATGTTTGTACATATGTATGTGTGTGCGTATGCGTGTGTATATCTGTGCGGATATGTTTCTGTATATGCACGCATATGTATATTTGTCAGATAAGTTTGTATGTATGTGTGTGCAGGCGTGTATATCCTTGTGGCTATGTTTGCATTTATGTATGTAAGTGTGTTCAGAAGTGTATACCTGTGCGGTTATTTTTGTGTATATTTATATGTGTGTACGCAAATGTATGCCCGTACGGCGAGGTTTGTATATATAAATATGTGTGTACGCATGTATACGACAGTGCGGATATATTTGTATATATGTATGTGTGTACCCGCGCGTGTATATCTAAACTGCTATTTTTGCTTATATATATATGTGAGCAAACTGCTGTCTTGAGAGGTTTGTAACATATTACTTATCATCTCTCAGTCGCGTCTCTGTCTTTGGGCAGAGTACACTCAGGGTCGAATCCGTAAAGGACAGACTCGCAACTGAGGAAAATTATACTGAGAGGTGCCCAGCGCAGGGGAACCGTTGCCCGAGGCCGTGACCTCTCATTGCACCAGAGAGAGGGGTCGGTGTTGGCACCGAGGACAATGCAGCCAATGGTTGCGGAGCAGTCGGAAATTTTTGTTCCTAGCCCGGGTGTACGAGCTCGGGGTCTCCACCTTAAAAACTGACCTTGTGTCACAACTTGTAAATATCTAGGTATTTGTATGCACAGGTGTGTATATCTGTGCGGCTATATATATATATATATATATATATATATATATATATATATATATATATGTGTGTGTGTGTGTGTGTGTGTGTGTGTGTGTGTGTGTGTGTGTGTGTATAAGAATGTGCCTGTCTCCACGGATATGTTTGTATATATTTACGTGTGTGTGTGTGGGGTATGTCTGTGAGATATATATATATGTATGTGTGTGTGTGTGTGTGTGTGTGTGTGTGTGTGCAGGGGTTTCGTTATTTTCGTGTATGCACAGGTGTGTATATCTGTGCGACTATATACATATATATATATATATATGTGTGTGTGTGTGTGTGTGTGTGTGTGTGAGAGAGAGATGTGCATGTCTCCACGGATATGTTTGTATATATTTACGTGTGTGGGGGTATATATATATCCGTATATATATATATATATATATATATATATATATATATATATATATATATATATATATATGTGTGTGTGTGTGTGTGTGTGCATGGGGTTTCTATATTTTCGTGTACGTTAGTATATACATACGATTATTATATTATGGAGCTGTTTAAACGAGTACATTTATAGATCTTTATGTGAGCATATATGTATGTGTGGTATGTGTGTGCATATATACATGTTTGTACGTATAAATCTGCTAGTATATATATATTTGTATTCATATATATATCTAAATTTATATATTTATATCTCTTCATACATATATATATATATATATATCTTTATTTATATATATATATATATATATATATATATATATATATATATATATTTATATATGTATATATATCTGTGTATTTGCCTGTGTAATATATAAATAATATAACAGAGACAAGAGAAACGGCTTTTTATTTAATTAGCTTACAAATGAGAAAAACTTTGTTTATGTAATTAATTAATTAAAAACCATTCTGATTAATTAAATTGCTTTTATTTAAAAACTGAATATGATGTATTTTCTTTGAATTTTAAAAAAATTCCATGATTTTCCAGATGGCGTCTTTTAGAGATTTTTCCTATTTTATCTGCAATACCTTTGTTTTAAACGCAGACATTAAAAAGCTATTTAGCGTATTAAGTTAGCTTTTGATTGAAATTAGTAATATTGCATTCAAGTCAGCTACTTAGAGAGAAACTTTTTCTAAATTGAAAAGATTAACAGAAACATAAGATTAAGTTATTTTAAACATATATATTTTTATAAATCAAGCTAATCTTAATTCTTTCTGGATTTCTGACATGAGAGATTATTATTTTAGTGTTCCATTTTATGTTCCAGATTGTTATTATTAAGACGTTTCGACTGTTGTACTCTTCTTCCTTCTTGAGGTGTCTATTGTATCCGGTAAAATTGTAGTATAATTAGTATTTTACTATTTTCCCTAATAACTGTTATATAACTAGTATCATTGTGTTTCCCGTAATAACTGTTATATAATCGCATTCAAAAAACACGCGTGAAGTTGGATTTGGTCGAGATCAAAACAAGCAAATAAAATGCGCGCAACAACACAACCTAACATGCACAAGTGAAATATTTGCGTGGTCGTCTATAACGATTTTTACGAGCGCGTCAATAACAGCAAACGCGTTCAGGAAACTTTCATTACAGATAGAATTTACTTAAAGGAACGATTAATTAGCTTATCTTCATACCCTGCCTGGTGGCAAACGCTGCTGGTGGCGCCAGGGGTGGCGGTCCCGCCATAGCCACCGAAACCGTGATATCACACCCCTGGTCGGCGGCTGATGAAGACAGGTTATCGCACGTGCTAACACACGTTGTATGTTTAAAAAAAAAAAATATCTTAGTATTTCTAGTAACTATTGTTAAATGCATGGGATGCTATTTCAAGTCAAGGCCTGACACACTTCGGGTACAATGCGCGCCTGTGTTATAGTTCAGATGTGCCATCTTGGACGCGTACATTTTTCTCGCCAATCCCTGAATCTTTCTCCTGCCTCCAGCGGGTTACCGCCCACTATGGGAATCACTGGGCCTGCTTATGTTAGTTCCGCTGGATTATAATGTCTGAACCAGGGACTGAACTCAAATCAACAGACAAAATGGAGTCAATATCCTCTATACTTTTATTTTTGTCTGAATTTATAGGATGAGGTGTCATAATTATTTACTCTATTTATATCCCCATCTTTGTTGTTTTGATTATAACGTTAACAACAAAGACAATGACAATAGTCTGACTTATAGGATTTGTTTAAAATTCGAAAGTACTGCTAAGATACAGAAATGTGGTTCCACAGAAGAATGCTGAAGGTAAAATGGAACGACTATGTGAGCAATAGCGAAGTTCTAGAGAAAATGGAAATAAAATGGGAAACTTATACATAACATCAAGAAGAGACAGTTGAAATTTCCAGGAAACTTAATGAGGAAAGACGGCTTGAAAAATCTGATACTGACAGGGAAAATCGATGGCAAGACTGACAGAGAAAAACAACGCGTAACATATTTAGTGAGCTTCACTAAACGGAATATGTTTTGGCAGAAATAACAAAAAGTTAAAATTTATCAAGAACTACAATGTACGGGAAATAGTGGAGAGCCATGATCGCCTACGTCCTGAGGGAACATGTCTCATGATAAAGAAGAAGAAGAAGAAGAAGAAGAAGAAGAAGAACTGCAGTCATATCTGGGCTTGATTTGCCCAGTTTTCATTTACCGGCCTGGATTTTTTCAAAGGTATCTACGCAATATTGTCGGTGATTAATTATTTTCACATCCTACAAATTGTTCCTTTTGGAAATGGCGTCGCGGGTGTTTTCAGTAATCTACCGCTATTTCTATGGCAAATGTTCTGTCAAGGAAGATTTATAAAGTCCAGTTGTTCAGGCCTTCCAAGTTAAAACCCATCTTACAACTTTCACTGGGACGAATAATCCCGACTTTGATTTACTCCATTAGAAAAGGGGATGTTCCACACGA